AAAAATATAATATAAGATTTAAATATCTTATATTACTATATTATTATATTATATCTTTTTTTACTTTTTTTACTATATTATTAAATTATATCTTATATTATTATATTATTATCTTATATATTTATCTTATATTATCTTATTTTATCTTATATATCTATATGTTATATTATATATCAATATTATCTTATTATTCTTAGCAATAATATATTGTTATATTATATTATAATATAGTATAACAATATAATAATAAAAATAATAAGATAATCATAATATTTTTATTATGAAATTTTTAGTAAGATATTGCTATCTTGAAGATTATTTAGTTTCATATTTTGATGCTAAACTTCAAATCATGTTATATGGTCTTATATAGGTTAGATTTAAAAACAAAAAATAGCTTTGAAGTCAAAAGAAGTGATAAGTTCTTCGCTTTTACTGAACACACAGAAACCTGGTATGTATGTAATACAGTCACAAAAATTAGAAGAAATAAAAAAGTACCTGCAATAAATGCGTATCAACAGTTAAAAGCAGTTGCATTGAAATATGGTTTTGACTGTTACTATGAAAACAACAAAAATTACTTTGTAATAGTTGAAGTCAAGAGCTGTCGCCAAGTTGTTAGCAAAACGCTGTCATTAGAGTCGAATAGCATGTGGAGACTAATTGTTTTAAATCGTGAAGTGCCATTATCCAATACTGTTATTAAATCACTACCAGATTATCTAAATCTGCAATCTGCTGATATTATATTCTCAACCATTTCATGTATAAACATATGTCAAGGTAATAATGACTTCTTCTATTTAATTAGAAATAAATTTTCTGATTTTAAAAATTTCCAAAGCACGTCAAATGAAGATGTTGGAATTATTGAGATGGAAGATGGCAATACAGTTGACAACTTTAAAGTTATTAGACATAAAGATTGTTCATTAATAAGAATTTACTTTAGGCATGTTTATTGACCTCTCCAAGGCCTTTGACACAGTGGATCATAAAATAATGATAAAAAAGCTTATGATGTACGGCATAAGAGGCTATCCTGCAGGTGGATATTGATTACCTAAGTAAACGTACACAGTCCATATATTACGGAAATCAAAAACTTACAAATTCATCTTTAATTTCTTCTGGAGTGCCCCAAGGATCTATTCTTGGGCCTCTACTTTTCCTAATATACGTGAATGATCTCTGGAGAGCATCAAATATATCAACAATAATGTTTGCTGACGACAGTAACTTTTTTATTTCAGGAAAAGATATACCTCAACTCTTCGTACAAACGAACAACGAGTTAGATAAAATTTCACTATGGTTCAATGCAAATAAACTTTCTATTAATTCAAATAAAGCAAAGTTCTCATTATTCCATCCTTTAAAAAAAAAAAAAATTCCAAATAATTGGCGTTCTATATCAGTCATGGGATTTACTTAATAAGCATTATCTAAAACAAATCTATTTCAGTTTTATACAAAGTTACTTGAATTACGCGAATATTGCGTGGTGTAGTACATCTAAAAGCAAGCTTGAAACACTCTATCGAAAACAAAAACATACCTTAAGAATAATAAATTTTAAAAATAAAAACGAACATGCAAAACCACTGTTCGAAATTATGAATATTTTTACGTTATACGAGATAAACGTTTATAAAATTTTATATCTCATGTACAAAAGTAAATTTCAACAATGCCCCTCAATTTTTAATGATCTTTATGAAATAAAACCTAACATTAAATATACTTTACGCACAACAGGCTTAATTGAACCATTGTGCAAAACTAAACAAGAACAATTTAAAATTACGTATCGTGCTCCGCATGTCTGGAATAATATCTTAGCAAAATATAGTAATTTACCAGGTGTAATCAATATAAATTGCTTTCAAAAACTAATAAAAAAGAATATTTCAAAGTATACAAATCTTATTAATGATTTCTTTTAAACTGCTTTGTTTTTTTGTTTGTTTGTTTTTTTGTTTTTGTTTTTTTACATTGAAAAGTTTTTGGTTTTAACACTATTTACCTTAGTTAATTAAGTTTTGCTTTTAACACTATTATAGGAATTTAATATTGTAAAAACAATTATTACAACGGCTCTTGATGATATGACTTAATGGTCTTCTGCAAGTTTCCCGCGTTTTTATTTATTTTTGTATAACTAACTCTTATTATTTTGTCTTTGATTTTTTATATCTATATCTGTTTTATTTTTGAAAGAACAAGAGTATCTGGTACTATATTACGGAATTTAATTGTAACAAAAACGGAAAATAAAAAAAAGAAAAAATAAAGAAAAAAAAAAAGATTTTTATAAAGCAAATCGACGGGCAATATATTGCGCATCGATTTTTATCTAAATAATTGCGTGCAATTCAATTCAATTGTTTATCGCATAATCGAAAAAATTCGCTTTTGTGCTAACCGCCAATGCGTTAACGCCAATGCTTAATAAATTCTTCTGGGAAAAAGAACTCGGACCGCATAGCAAAGTACAACCAATATCTAGGAGAGTTAAGTTTTGATGGTATTGAATTTCCAGTAAAAGTGACTGATGTTGCAAAGTTTGAGCGTCAAAATACAATATCTACTACCTTATCCCATCCGAAAACATTAACCTCCAGTTAACGTGTTCGGATGGGATAAGGGTCTATATCCTCTTTACACAAGCAATCAAAACGATAAAATAGATATTGACCATTTACTTGTTCAAAAAGAGAAATCTTATAACGTTTGGATTAAAAACCTTGCTATTGTACGAGTAATAAAAAGATAGCAAAGTACCCTTAACGTTGATGTCTTCATGTATCTAGCACTGCTGGCTTAATGAAACCTTATCGCAATGATTGTTTAAAGATTGGAGAAAAAGCACAGCGTACAGTAATGCCGAAAAAGGGCAAGAACAATATTTTAAAATGTAATAATTTTCACAAACAGATGCGGGTACTATACATCATTTATGCTGACTTTGAAGCATTATATGTACCTGTAGAAGGTGATCTTAATTATCCAGCTAAAAGCTCAACTAGACTGATTGCAAAGCAAACATCATGTAGTTATTATTACGTAAAAGTTTGGAGCAACGGGCTAACCAAAGCCTCAACACTATATCGCGGTGAGAATGCGGTGAAATACTTTCTTACGAGCCTTCAAACTGAGTTGAAAAGAATTAACGCGATATTTAGGAATCTGGAAAAAATGGTTGTGACTAATATTGACAAGACTTCATTTGCGGAAGCAACAGTTTGTAATACATGCCGCATTAATCTTGGCAACAACAAGGTTCATGACCATCGTCACATCACGGGAAAGCATCGAGGCGCTGCTCACAGAAATTTTAATTTAAAAAAACTTTACGTTGAATTTGTGTTAATAAACGTGTTAAATTTTAAATTAAACATGGAAACCTCATTTAAAAATATAGAAAAATTAATTATCAAGAAGTTAGAGGAACAAAAAATATGTATATTACAAGAAACAGAAAAATTGTTGAAAGAACAAAAAAAAACCTTCGCTTCGATAATGAGTGCAAACTTGAAAATATTAACGGAAAGAATAGAGAAAATTGAAATATATGTAACAAATAATAAATCCAACATTATGAATATTGAAAAAGATCTGAACGATGTCAAAACAACATTAAACTTCCAAGAAACAAACCTTATAGATAAAATAAAACAAATTAGAAAGTGTTATGACAACGAACTAAATATGTTGACCAAAAAAACAATCGATCTCGAAAACAGATCTCGACGAAACAATCTGCGAATAGATGGAGTAAAAGAAAAAGCAGGTGAAACCTGGACTGAATGCGAGGATTCAGTTAAAGATATTTTCAAAAACCAACTAAAAATAAATTGCGAAGTTGTTGTAGAAAGAGCACATAGAATAGGCAAAACAAAAGATAGTAAAATACCTAGAACTATAGTTCTGAAACTTTTAAATTATCAAGACAAGAACAAGATTCTCAACGCCGTTAAAAACTTGAAAGGTACTGGTGTATTCGTCAACGAGTATTTCGCAAAGAAAGCTATCAAGAGTCGCAAAAAGTTATCGAAAGAAGTCAAACGTCTACGCGGTGAAGGAAAGTACGCCGTTATCAAGTATGATAAAATTTTTTGTAGAGAATTTTAAAATCCAATCCCTAACTTTAAGTCCTAAAAAGAAGCCTTTCTATAAGTAAATGCTCAAATAAAATTAACTTTAAAAAAAAGCATGACTGGAATCAGTGTCTTTGAATCCATGTGTTTTAACTTTAATGAAATAAATGATGTAAATATAGACCCCGATATAAACTATTCCTACGAGGCGCTTACGGATTGCTCATATCACTTTTCAAGCGATTTAGAAGGGTTTCTTTTTAAAAATGTTTATGACAAATGTTTAAATAAAATTATACTACACGTAAACATTCGAAGTCTTAATAACAATTTTGAAAAACTTTTAAACTTGTTAAAAGAAACAAAAAATCGTTTTAACATAGTTTGTTTAACTGAAACCTGGATTTCAAATAACATAGATAATACTTCGAACTTTTATATTCCTCATTTTAAATTAATTTCGTTTAAAAGACAAGTAAATAAACGCGGCGGAAAAATCCTTATATATGTGAATGAAAATATTGTTTATTACGTTAGGAATGATTTGAGTGCTTCTGATAGCGATAAAGAAATTTTGACTATTGAAATTATGAACAATCAATCTAAAAACATATTATTAAGCTGTTGTTATCGCCCACCTGACGGCGTGAGCAAGAACTTGTGCATTTTTTTGAACAAAGTATTTTCAAAAAAGGTATTAAAGAAAACAAAAAGAACTTCATTATTGGAGACCAAAGTATGAATTGTTTTCTTTATGATGAAGATAACAAAGTTAAAAACTTTTATGACTCCTTTTTCGAGGCGGGAGCAATTCCTTTAAGGGGGAAAACCTCTCAGAAAAATTTTTTTTTTTCAATTTTTTTTTTCCTGATATTTCAAAAGTAAATTTATTAAGAAATCAAATGGTAAAAACCTTATTCGAAAATCGCTATTTTTTATATCAATAAATGACACTTTTGTACAACCACCTGAGTTCAAAATTACCTAGCAACGCCCCTAGTTACAGAAAAACTGTGAATAAAACACATCTAGTATAGCTTTTTATCCGTTTTTTTTTTGCAGTTTAGTTTGAAATCCTTCCCATTATCTCTAAAGCCATACTTTAAAACCACATATTTGACTGATAGTGCTAAAATTAGTCATCTTTTCAAGCTTCTACACAATCAACTCAAGCTTTCTATATAATTAAAAAAAATGGACAAGTCTAAAACTGAATATAAAAGTGATAGAGTAAAATTTTCTACAAAACGTCTTCGAAAACGTAAATGTACATTTTCTGGTTTAAGAAAGCAAGAAAAATGTGTAAATATTGGTGTAAATAATGTTAATAGTAATAATGAAAATATGGTAGACTCTGTAAATATTGAAAGTGAAAGTGTATTTAAAAGTGCATCAAAAAAAAAAGTAAAGCAAGTAATGGTTCCAAGTGGAAACTCAAAATGTGTCAGTGGCTACAGGTTTATTGATTTAGAAATTCTTGCTTCCATTTTTGATAAACTTGGGTGTCCAGAATGTTTGCGACCATCACAGTTGTCGTTAAGCGAAAATAAAAAGTCTTGCAAAGGATATGCATCAAATTTATCATTAAATTGTGTTTGTGGTTTCAAGTTAGACTTTGGCACATCAAAAAATGTAGCAGGGTTTGATATTAACAAAAGATTAGTGTATGCCATGAGAACACTGGGTCAAGGCCAAGCTGGTCTACATCGGTTTGCCACTCTTATGAATATCCCAAAAGGATTATGCAATAAAAGCTATAATGTTATTGTTCAAAAATTGGCAACTGCAGCACAAACTGTTGCTGTTGAAACTATGAATGAAGCTGTACAAGAACTCAGAGAAGGCAAATCTTTTAATGAGATCTTAGATATTGGAGTTTCTGTTGATGGAACATGGCAAAAAAGAGAATTTAATTCACACAATGGGGTGACGGCAGCATTATCAATTAAAAATGTGAAGGTTTTAGATGTTGAAGCATTATCTAGAAAGTGTAAAATATGTGACAAAAATCAAGATGTTGGTAATTCAAAGCAGCAGCTAACAGCAAAAAAATCACATATTTGCAATAAAAACTATGAAGGATCAGCCGTTGGAATGGAAACAGTTGGGGCAATAAAGATATTTAATCGCTCTTTGCAAAAATTTAATTTACGATACACAGAATACTTGGGTGATGGTGATAGCAAAAGCTACACTTCTGTCAAAAACACATACAAGGGTATTGAAGTAATTAAACTAGATTGTATTGGACATTTTCAAAAGCGCATTGGATCTCGTTGTAGACAATTAAAAAAGCAAGTCAAGGGTTTAAATGGTAAAGGCGGTTTAACAAACGCTACAATTGATTGGGTGCAAAATTATTTTGGTATTTGCATTAGGCAAAATTGTGGCAACCTTGAAGGTATGAGATCTTCAGCTTTGGCTAGCTTATTTCATGTAGCATCTTCAAGCAAAAGTAATTGGCATTACCCGCATTGTCCCACAGGAAAAGATAGTTGGTGTAAATACAATCGAGATAAAGCTAATGGAACCAAAGAGTATAAACCCGGACCAGGTCTTCCTATTGAAATAGTACACAAGTTAAAGCCCGTTTATGTAGAACTAACATCAGATGCTTATTTAAATCGTTTGCTTCATGGAAGAACACAGAATCAAAATGAAAGTTTTAATGCAATGTTATGGTCTAGAATACCTAAGTCAAAGTATGTTTTGCTTACGCAACTGAAACTTTTGGACTCTATGATGCTATTGGTGCCTTTAATATAGGATTAAAGTCTAGTATACTTATATATTTGCTATTGGTGCCTTTAATATAGGATTAAAGTCTAGTATACTTATATATTTGAAAGACTTAATATGATACCAGGGCAACATACCATTTCTGGATGCAATTACCTGAACCAGAAAAGAGTTATGATGTCAGAGTATAAAAATCAAGACACCATCAAAAAAAAAAGGAAGATTTTAAGAAGCCGCAAACTTAAAAAATTTGACAAAGTTGAACAGAAAGAAGGGAAATTGTATGGGGCTGGTGTTCATGATTAAAAAATACAATCAGTATGCTCTTTTTATATTATATTTTTTGTATCTTTGTTATTATATAATATTTTTCATCACAATTTCAACTTATTTGGCATTTTTCTCAGAACGCGTGTTTTTAATCTCCCGGCAGAAGTATCTTGAGAACCGCTTGACTGATTTTAATGAAATTTTCAGGGAGTATTCCTCTCATAAAGATGTATGCAATGAGCAGACAACTTTTTCAAAAAGTTTTTTAAACTAAAGAAATTAAAAAAAATATCTATCATTTTTGTGCTTAAAATTTTTGCCAAAATTAAACAGGCCTACTACCTGACAGAAAAGTTATTTTCAAAAACTGTCTGCTTATTGCATAGATCTATCTTTTAACTATAAGTTAGAAAAAAATCAGCTCAAAGTATCATTCTAATTGACTGCAATCTTTGCCAGGGTGAAGAGACTAATTTGACATTTTCCCTTAGTAACCGTGCCATTTTTTATGATAGATCTTCTTAACATTTAGTATACTTTTATTTGGAACATGTAATAACTTTATTAATGCTTTACTTTAGAAAATAAGTTTTTGAGGGGTTTTCCCCCTTAATAAACAGGCCAACTAGAGTGACAAAAAACTCGGCGTTTTTGATTGATAATATTATTAGAACAGATATATTCAACAATGATATTCAAACAGGTATCCTAAAATCTGATACAACTGACCATTTTCCAATATTTTTGACAATTAATTCTAAAATTAAAAATAAAAAAAAAACAATAAAAAAAATAATCCTTGGATAACAAAAGGATTTAAAAAATCATCCAAGATTAAACAGAAGCTGTATATAAAATATCTTAAAACAAAATTATCAGATAATGAGAAAATATATAAAAATTACAAATATCTCTTTGAAAAAGTTCGTAAAAACTTGAAAAAAAATTATTACACAAGACTCCTAGATAAATTCAAAAATAACACAAAACGCAATTGGCAAATAATGAACGAAATTACTGGCAGACAAAAAAATGCTCAAGTTCTCTTCCCCAGATGGTTATAGTGGATAACAAACGCATATGCAAACCAAAGGCTATAGCTCATGAATTTAATAAATTCTTCACTGACATCGGTCCTAAACTAACAAATAAAATTCCTTATACCAAAGCAACATTTAACGATTTTCTAGTACAGATGGATAATTGCATTAGTTCCAACGAATTATATTCTGAGCTAACTTTTCATGAATTCGAAAAAGCATTCAAATCCCTTTAAAAAAAAAACAAAGCAAGCGGAGCACATGACATTAACGGTAATATAGTTATAGAATGTTTTGAACAATAAAAAGATTTTTTTAAGGTTTATGGAGCATCTATCCACCAAGGAGTTTTTCCGGATCAATTAAAAATTGCTAAAATTACCCCAATTTTAAAAGAGGGAGATCAAACAAATATCAGTAATTATCGTCCTATCTCCGTCCTCTGCACATTCTCAAAAATACTAGAACGCATTATGTATAATAGATTATACATTTATCTCCTTTCTAATAATTTTTTATACGCCAACCAGTTTGGTTTTAAAAAAAATAATTCGACGGAACATGTAATTATCCAACTTGTACGTGAAATTTCAAATTATTTTGAAAAATCTAAATTTACATTAGGTATTTTTATCGACCTATAGAAGGCGTTCGATACTGTAGATCATGAAATTTTGATACAAAAACTGAAATGCTATGGAATAAATTACAAAGTTATAAAATGGTTCCGAAGTTATTTATCTAACCGTAAACATTTTGTTTTTAGTAATAGTTGTTATCCAAATGAGTTCCTAAATGTTTCATGTGGCGTTCCCCAAGGTTCCATTTTGGGACCACTGTTGTTCTTGATTTATATAAACGACCTAAATAAAGCCTCAAATTTAATGAGTATAATGTTTGCTGATGATACCAACTTATTTCTTTCCAATAATGGTATTTACAAACTCTTTTCTAGTATGAACGATGAACTTAAAAACATATCAAAATGGTTTAAATCCAATAAGCTAACTCTTAACAGTAACAAAGCAAAATGGATTCTCTTCCATCCAATCGCAAAAAAAACTTATTTACCCCAAAATTTACCAGAAATCTTTATTGATAATACTGTGATATAAAGACACTATGTCACAAAGTTTTTGGGTGTTTTTCTTGATGAAAACATCACATGGAAAGCGCATATTGACTATATTAGCACAAAAATTTCTAAAAGCATTGAAATTTTATATAAATCCAGAACATATCTATATAAAAAAGATTTAACCCAACTATACTACTCATTTATTCATACCTATTTAAATTATGCAAATATTGCTTGGGGAAGTACAGAAAAAAGCAAGTTTCAATGTCTTTACCGCCGTCAGAAGCATGTGATCCGTTTAATTAATTTTGCGGATCGATACACCCATTCCAAACCTTTTTTTATTGAAATGAAAATTCTTAATATTTACGAGCTTAATGTGTTTAATGTTTTATGCTTTATGTATTTGTGGAAAAATGACTTATCCCTACCTATCTTTAACAATCTCTATTGTGAAAAACCAATAAATAAATACACTCTTAGAAATAATAAAATTTTGCATAAACCTTTTTGTCGAACAAAGTTTAACCAGTATGGTATTGCTTATCGTGCGCCATATCTTTGGAATAAAGTTGTTTTGCCAAATTTTGATATATTTTACACTTTTCCAATTTTCAAACATAAACTCAAAAATTTAATTTTATTTTCCAATGACATAATAAGGTTCTTCTAATTGTAATTATGTACCTTTTTTAATTGTAAAATACGTTTTATGTTAATTGTAAAATACGTTATATGTAACGACTCTTTTTGTTTTACTTTTCTGTTTATTTTATATATAGATTATATACATTGTAAATAATTATGCTAAATGCTTGTAAAAGGTTCTGATGATAAGATCAGTACGATCTTCTTTCAGAAACTTGTTTGTATTTGTTAAAGTATTGTATCTTGAACGACAGATGTTGCCCCTGAAGGTTTTTGAACGCCAGATGATGCCCCTGAAAGTTTAATTGTTGAGGTTGATATTGATTATCCTAAGGAACTGCATGATAATCACAACAATTATCCTCTTGCTTCAGAGAGAAGTATGGTTGAACAAGAATGGTTAAGAATATCAACAAAAATGGTTAGAGAACTAGGCGTAAAATTAACATTACGTAACGTGAAATGTGAAAATCTTGTACCTAACTTACAAAACAACGAAAAATACATTGTGCATTATCTCAAACTTACCAATTACTACGGATGCGTGTCAAAATCCGTAGAGCTGTAAAGTTTAGACAGGAGCAATGGATGGCTCCCTATATTCAGGATAGGATGATGGCTCCCTATATTATATTAGACAGGAGAATGGCTCCTTATATTCAGATGAATACTGATTTAAGGACTAAGGGTAGATCAAACTTTTAAAAAGGTTTCTTAAAGCTTATGAATAACAGCGAGCTAGGTAAAACAAAGAAAAACATACGCAAGGTAATACAGGTAGACTTTGTTTGCGAGAACGAAAAACCCGGCTGAATAAGCTTACCGCTGACGAAGCTTACCTAAGTCATCAAATATTCAATGGTTATCTTACAACCATTAACAGTAAAAAAGCTAGACTAATGTTGAATCGACTTATATATGTTGGTGAGACCGTCATAGACCTCAGCAAATACTTAATGTATGATTTCTGGTACAAGCAGATAAAATCAAAATATAACCAAAAAGCTAATTTACAATGACAACAGACAACTTATTGTTTCAAGTGGAGACTGAAGATACTTAACAATGATATGAGAAAAAATTCTGAACATTACTATTTTAGTAAGTATCCAAAAGAATATCCATGCTTTAACAAGACTAATAAAAAGGTCGTCGGTAAATTCAAGAACGTGTCTAACGGCCGCCTCATCCAAGAATTTGTTGAATTACGACCTAAAATGTATTCTATTCTCAAAACTGAAGGATATAACAAGAAGATAGCAAAAGGGTCTGCAGAATTTTTTTTAAGAAAGATCTCAAGCACATCTCATACAAGCAGTGCCTCAACGAGCAGATTGAACTAAAACACTCACAAGTCAAGGTTCAAAGGTACCAAATCGGTGTATATCAGCAAGTTAAATCATCCCTAACCTCTTTTGATACTAAGCAATGGATCTCTCCTGATGGAATTACAATTTTAGTATTTGATAATAAATTTGTTAGACAAACTTTTAATGCAGGAGAAATTAAAATTTCTATTCTTGCAGCCGGCACCGATAGGGCTAAAATTGTTTTTTCCATTTTGATTGCGTCTATTAGTTTTTTCCCTAGTAAGCGAGTAGTCTGGCTGTTAATTGATTATACAAGATTAGATAAAGTTTTAACCCATGCGACTGATCTTTCAGTCAGTAGCAACTCCTAAGCATACTGGCGACCAAAACGTAATTTTGGCTAACGTGATATGATAGCGTTCAAATATGGACTGTTCTAGATGATTCCCAGCTACAGTCCACCTAGTTTGAACTTTATTTTTTTCAAGAAGTTTTGTAGCAGCTATTTTAAATTCACTTCCAGCACCAACTTGGATAAGATTAAGCCAAGTGAGGACCTTGTTGCAGTAGGACAAACTGAAATAAACGCTGTTATAAATGCATACTGAACCGCTCTTGGTGTGAACGCTGATCCTGTTTTGATATCCCCATCCCTGAAACCAAGTTTAAGTATGTTTAAATATGCACAATATTGTGCACTTGTTGCTTCAAGCTTAGGTGTTCGCTGCTTTGCTGCATCTCTGCTCAAATAGATAAATGCAGCTTTATTATTAAGCGGCGAGCTAAGCCGTGTTTTTTAGAAAATAAATGTATATATATATATATAAAAAACTGTTAGCATTATGTGACGTCTGGCCGCGTTGCGTAGGCTGACTTTTTGTGTTTTATTTTAAAAACGTTTTTTAATTTTTAGTAGTATACCAACCTATTACTCCTCCAATAACTGCAGCTCTTGCGACGAATAAATACTCATTTGTTTTTTGTTCTTCACTTATTTGATAATAATCTTTAAGCTTTGGTTGTGGAGGTGATTTATGAAGTTCATCATTATCAGTTAAACGTTTTTCAACTATCATTTTACGATAGAAACCGCTGGCTTCAGCATAGTCATTTAATCAAGCTCAACCTTCTCCTTAACCTTTGTCTGGACCACCATTATCATGCTTGTCTTTATCTGGGTCAAGTTTGCCCTTATCAGGCATGCCTTTGTCACTATCCTTGTCAGGTTTTTTTATTTTTAGGTAGATTCACAATACCTTTATTTAAGCCCATAAAGCTAATAATATAGCTCATATTATAAGTACAGCTACGTAAGGAGTACAACTATGTGTGCTAATATAGCGATGTTAATAGCGAACCAGGCTTGGCTGCCGAGCTGTACCAGGCCTGGCACGCCAGCGCCGGGCTGCTCATTGGTTTTTCAAAGGGCCAGTATACGCAAGCCAGTGCTGGCGCAGCAACGTTTTGCTAGCGGCAAGCCAGCATTGATTCAATTTAGGGCCGACGCTGGCAATCAGCGAACGTCTGATTGCCAGCGTCGGCCCTAAATAGTCCAATTAAACTACTTTTTTCATCAATTTTTACTAATTTTACTTTATATATATATATATATATATATATATATATATATATATATATATATATATATATATATATATATATATATATATATATATATATATATATATATATATATATAACTATTTTAATTATTATATAGATATATATATATA